ACCCCACTGGTCCCCGCAACATTTCCAATCTAGTGCTATGTATAAAATAATGTATGGCGAATCTTCGCTATCGCGTGACATGGGTTGGGCAATGTCCAAGAAATTCCGTTGTAAGGAAGTATTTGCAGACAAAACAGACTCAAGTAGACTAATCACTTACTCCAATCACCACGGCCGCGTTGACGAAAGAACGGCCGAAACAACGCTTATTGTAAACGATGGAAACGCAAAATAACTAATTAAGCCAATAGGCCAATTTCGATATCGTAAAAGTCTTACTTGGCAATGAGACTTTGGGGCTGATAAAACAAAAGAAATTAATCCTTCATCTTTTAAACTCGATTTGATTTCTTTGGTATTATTCCCCTCAGCCTCGGGGCCATAAGTTAGAGTTTAATATATCTAAAGTGGCTTATTACATTCTATGGTTGCTACACAAGCGTAGCTTCTAGAAAAGAACACGGAATGAACAGGACTGTGGTATATTAAAATCAGTCAGGAGTGAATAAGTGGAGTGAAACTCTCCGTTGGCCGTGACAACGCTGTTATCCACTCTAATGGAGAAAAATTAAATTTTCAAAACAACAGCTCTCGTTGAAACTTATTTGAGATTGAGACACTTGACCTGTTTTAGAATATAGCGTCATAGCCTATGTGACACGCGATCCCCTTCCCTCGTCACGAACCGTGAGGAAGACGGTTAAAAAATTTGATTGACATCAGAGCTTAGCTGCACGAAACGTCATCAAGATGAGCCGGAATGAGTTCTATAAAATCATGCCACAATCACAATATACCATCGCTAGTTTAATTTGGTTGTTGGTGTGACGGTCTTCGATGCCAGCTTGAGAAACACAGCTATTCAGTCCATTGTTTAGTCCGAATTGAAAGCGAAAAGCAATCGAGTGTGCAACTCAACCGGTTTGTCCAAGTTGAGATCAAAGTTGTCCAGACAAGAAACCCATCGTGAACTAAATTGACTGAAAAATCTCACTTACCCTGTTTCTGAATCATTGAATTCACCAGAATAAGCTTGTAGCGTGTACACCACTATGCAATGAGATCCGAAAGTACCTTGGACGTTTTATCAATTTTTGTACACAATCTTTTTGTTGATGGTCGTGACGTCATTTCCTTTTTCTTTTCAGATAATATCA